TTCCTGATGAGGGGTACCAAGGTCAACGCGGTTACGCTGGCCCAGAGCATGTGAAGACCGTAGGTGTAGAAGTGAGCCGTGAGCCCTATCACACTGGTCGCTGACAAGAGCGATGCGAGGACGGACACGGCCAGAGGGTTAACACCGATGTCACGGCCAGCCAGAAACGCCTCATCCGCGCCCATCCGGTGGCTCCGACCACTCAATGCGAAGTACAGACCGATGACCAGGTTGAGGGTCATCAAGCCGCCGAAGACGAGATAGTCCGCAAGGTGTACATGCGCCTCCATAGTATAGATCACCTTGTGCAGCTGAAGTAACTCTTTACACCGTAGACGATGAGATTTTCTTTCTTGTTAAGCACTTGGAAAACGACCCGGTATAACACGTGGCGAAGATCCAGTGCAAAGCATGTTGACAGACGGAAAGTGTAAATGTCAAAAAAGTTTGTTAAAATCCGCCCACAGTTCTGAGTTAGGAAGTTGCACGAAAGCAGACTTTTCTTTAAATTCCTCTATGAATCAGGTGCACCAAGAAGAGATCTCTGTGACGTTGCGAGTGCTCTATGCCGGTTAGTGCAAGTCCGAATACAGCTATCGTCGTCGATGACAGTGCAGCTATAAAGGCAACAAAGTCCCTGTCACTCTAAACTACGAAATTCCGCTTTCTTTGTCAGTCATCGTTTAGGCGGAACGGAATGCGGCTAATGACACAGGACACGGCACGACGTAGTTATTACGTTCTTACGACTGACGTGACGTAGTTCTTCCGTCTTTTGTTTGACTTCAGACCTGTGAAAGGTACGTGCAACCGACGCTCGTCTGTACTTTTGTCGTTCAGATGCGCTGAATCCCAGTCATTTGTCTTTAAATACCGTAGCGTCTTGAAGTCAATTCATTCCTTATGCTCTCCGCCCCCCCCTTCCCCCTCCATGAAAAATTCCTATCGTCACACCAAGTTGCATGACCGCGCGCGAAAGGATGAGGACGTATACGTGCCGACCTCATCTTCTTGTCTCGCGCGTGCGGGGGTCGAGGGACAAGGCGCTCCCTGGATGTGCCGCAGTCAATTAAGTTATATATACCTTGACGCCGTCTCCTCAATACCTCGTAAGAGGAAGGAGCGAACTGAATAGAAGATAACTAAACAGAAGCGGCGACGTGCTACTCACGACCGGGCTCGATGTGTCAGAGACGCTGCAGGAAAGAGAGCGACGTTTGGCCAGGGGTAGAGATACAAGACACATCTGATGCTTAGTTGGCCGCCGTGTCTCACCTAAATGGGTACGAAACCGAAATGACGTGAGCGCGAGCTCTCTAACCCTCGCTTTAATAGAGAGTTTTAGTAGATCGTTCCGATACCTCCGATAGCCCCGATAACAATACTATGCATGCGCAAGGGAGGCGGTGGCGGAGTATCGGGTATCGTTATCGGAGTCATGGGAACGATCTACTAAAACTCTCTAATGTCGGCCAGCCAGAAGCGCAACCCGTATCGTGCTCGGGACGACAGAAGTTCCTGCATGGCCAAGGCTACTGTGGTTGCGAGCGTTTCCGCTTGGTGGCGTCACCGCGTGACATTCTCAAGTAGTAGTAAGATCCGAGGACTGTACGCCCTAGGGCCTATAGGGCGTTTTCACATGACGTCAATCCGCCATTTTATTGTGAGCTGTCAGCATGATGAAACTGACAAGTTTTTGTGCTGTACGAATTTGAGGGTGTGATGCGAATCTTCGGACTGCCGGCCTTCTGAGCGCCTTCTGAGCGCGTCAGACTGCTCATAACAACAAAATTGTGGACGAAATGGCGTCGGTGAAAACACACTATACAAGCTCGCCCATAATGTCATTCGGGGCCATGCATGTATTTTATGTGCCACGACCGTTCAGTTCACCGTGTTACTCTCACACCGCAGAAGTGGTAGCTCTAGGGAACCATGCAGTAAGTAAAACAAACCGTCAGCACCCAGAAATGGCGACACCTGCAAGCTATGTATTACCTGAGCGCGTTATTCACAGCGCCTCCCGGGAGGGGGGGGGGGGGGGAGGGAGGGGGGGCGACGGTATAGGTGACTTTGCAGTGGTAACCGTTTACTCAGATTAAGCTCCTACCTAACGTAGGCAAAGAAGGGAAAACTTGATGGTGCTGAATGCACTTTGCGGAAGCACTGTCGAAGCTTGAACAAGCTCGTTAGCGTTTTCTGCCAAGTCACATTCAGGAGTAGGTAACACCACGAGCGAGCCATGCTGCCGCGGCCTGGCACTGCTTCTTGGGAAATCATGACGTGCCGGCGTTCCAGAGGAGCTTCACTGATTGCCTCCAAACGCAATTTTGAAATCTGCTAATTCGTTTTAAACTTGGTTTTCTTAAATTTTCTGCCAGTAGCCGGTAAACACTAGTCTAGGCTAGTATTTCTGGGCTGTCGGAACAACATAGACTACATCTAAACAAAGAAATAAGTACGAACATTTCATTTTTTTACCCCTTTGAATAAACGGAATGTTACTTTTATAGAAGACAAACAATGCGATCGCATTTCGACATAGACTGCAGCGCAGCGTCAGTCTATGTCGAAATACATAACCTCGGATTTTTTATATATATATATATACGGGATATTAGGTCAAAATAATCATCAAGAAAAAGGACATGACCCTAGAAGGGCTCGAAAACGAAAGTACGTGCATACGTTGCCTTCCATAGGCGACGGCCTAGAGCACTCGGGCATTGTGTATTTTTCATATTTTGATTACTTGGAAGAAGATGCGATAGATTCCCATCGTGGTCATTCAGGGTTCACTTTATACAATTTTAGTTGTCATGTTAACACTTCGGGTTGTTTTGTAGACTGTTAAATAGAGGTAGCCGGTCAGAAACTACTGTCCGAATGTCATACTCGCTTTTGACGTGGATGGCAAGGTCAATGAAATGTGTAGGCGTACAGTTTTTGGGTGCGAACTTTCCTTTTAGAGCGCAGCTCTTAGGCGCCCGTTTCCGGCTTGAGCGGCGTCGGCGTAACCAAGGTCACCCCAAGGTCACGTGACCCCCCCAGGTCACGTGACCTCCCAGTTCACGCTACCCCTCCCAAGGTCACCCCAAGGTCACGTGACCCCAGGTCACGGGACCCCTCCCAAGGTCACCTCAAGGTCACGTGATCTCCAAGGTGACCCCCACGTGACCCCCCAAGGCCACGTGACCCCCCGAGGTCACGTGGCCCCCCTCCCCGAGGTCACGTGACCCCCCTCCCCCCGACGTCAGGTGACCCCCCCGGAGCATATTAAAGAATGAGGGGAGGAGGAGGAAAAGCAGGAGGAAAAGGATGGGGTCTACCCTCCCCTCAGTACCTTTCCCTCCTCCTCAAGAGCTGCGCTCCAATTCGGCGTTACAGGGAGTTGTAAACGGCTTTCACTTTCTTTTTTTGTCAAGTCGGGACTCCTACGTTCTATACAATGCTAGGAACATTAGCATGCCATACGAGAAGTTATCTCCGGAAGACACAGGTGGGAAACGGATTGAATAACCTGTAATGTAAACATCTTGTTTTTAGAGTGCGCTGCAATACATTTCTATACTGGACCGTGTTCACGCTTGCGTGGGTGTGCGACGCGAAGGGTATGGACAAAGAGACGACATTTTCGGGCCAGTACAAAAATATATTAAAGCGTTCAACAACTAGGGAATGAGCAAATCCAAAAAATAATTATCAGAAAATCTGACACTTAAACGGTAATTAAAGAAGAGTACATCACAGTGTACGTAAAGCGGGTCTGAGTTCTGATCATCGTTGATACTCCGAAGTCTTGATGTCGAACAGAAACCAAAGCAGACAGACGGGACGTCGCGACGACAGCGACCCTTAGGTCCGCTCGCCTTTCTGGCCAGCATTTCTACGACCCCAACCGCCAGGATCGCGACATCCGACAGCATGACAGGCCGGATCCTCTGACACAAGGTTTGCCTCTTCGAGACACCGTACCGTTGCCAGTTACCTCCTGTGTACTAAACTTGATAACATGCAGCGGCCCCGACGAGAAGGGACCCCTGGACGACCCTGGAAGCCGGTGAACCTGTGCCGTCCCACACCCACGACAAGCAGACGGTGATGCAACCCAATATTCGGTTGACGGAGAGATGTGGAGCACTGTACTTCGGGAACTATTATACCCAGGAGGAATTCATGGACGGCTGCAACGACACTACGGAGACGATGGTGCCATGGCACAAAATATGAAGCTGAGAATGCGAGAGTGAAAAAGTTTATTTCGTAATGTAGGAGTCAACTGCCTTAGCCGAATTATCCCGAGGCCAAAGGAGTCAGTGAGCATTTTGGGAGATATAGAAAGCTGGGTATGCGATTAGGACGAAACTACACAAGTTATCGGGCAATCGAGCTTCTGCTGTAGTCTACCTGTTAGTCGAAAATGGCTCTTTGTTTTTCTGTTCGTACCCATTCATCTAGCGTACTCGATCTATCCTCTTCTTGCAGAGTTTCGAGGTATTTCCTTCTTTGTCTTCTCACTTCTTTGCAGTCAGAGATTTTCTGTTGAGGTTCTGCCACGTTGTTAGCGGTCCAGATCTTGCACCTGGAATCCTCAGGTTCCAGTAGTCTGAAAGTCGCCTACTTTGCCAGCGTGAGTGCCGTTTTGGTGCTGAGGCGTCGGATCCGGGTGGCTTCTTATCTGTTTTGTACCCCTTTAGTATTGGGCCTTCCTTTGTCTATAGGGGCCCTTGATGTAGGCCTTTCGCACGTACTAAAAATAAGTCTCTGCACTCCGTTGACAATTCTTTTCCCGGATGCATCTGACCCAACAAGAGAGCTCCAGTCTTGCAAAATACCCATTGCTTACTCGGTGCACCAAACGACATGTCACACAGAGTTAGTCGCGATTCTCACTCAATCGCATCCTTATTTTACAAAAATAGGCCATCCGTTCAAGATATCGCTTTATGAGTGGTGTTTTGGGGTTTGTGGCGCCCCGTTGAACACTCCTGCTACCTTATTTTACGAAATATATATTTCGGTTCAGAATCCCTTTAAAATAGGACGACAGTTCCATGCACCGGTCGGAGTAATGGTCCTAAATTCCTGAGACCTTTCCTGGCCGGAGAATCTTACCGGGGTGCCGTACGCCTTGGACGGCGTTCGGGCGACGTACTGATTCGGAAATTAAAGGCGGCAGGAAGAGAAGGACAGCCAAAGGCTTGTACTGTAACAAATAGGAAAAGGATAAAAAAAAAATGGGATTAAGGATACAGTACTACGGTAAGTGGAGCCCGTATCTGATTGAACTGGCGAGAACTTCTGCCCTGCGTAGGTTCATCGCTAGATCCGGAACCTATTGTGGCTCGTATTTCTAACACTTTCCTATCGGTTCTGTTTCGTATGGTTTCTTTATGGTGTTATGTGACCGGTCACCGTGAAGACCTGAAGTTCCTCGCCCACGCAGTTTCCTCCTGGCTGTTCCTCCTGAATATGAGAATAAAGAGAGTAATTAAGGATCAATGTAGGCAAATACTCAGCACGCTTATTTTACATTGTTCGACCTATAATAAATTTAATGTGGTCTATAACATATTATCGAACAAGATGTGCAGTTGGGACTCTATAAAACTTTCTTTAAAACAGTGTGCACTGCACACTTGCCGATTGCGTCCTTTTCTGGTTGCTTCTTGGAGAAATGAACAAATTAAAAATAAACATCCTGGAGCACTTACTGCATTAAAGTCCGACAGAAGGCGCATTTTCTTCCAGAGTTTGAGAAAGACACCACTAGTGAGGTGGACGTTCTTACCCGCGTATCGCTTTTCGCCTGCCAGGGGAGAATAAAATAAAAGCGCATTGATGACTCCAGCCAAAACCACGCTCCTATCAACACGCACTCTAATACAGATGATTGGGAGGCGGAAAATCACACTGTCGTTTTGAAGTTGCGTTGCATGTTTCCGCTTAAAATTTAGCTAGCTCGTTGCGATTATTAACTCGCCTTTTACGTGCGTTACGCAGTGTTTGAACGAATGCACACCAGTGCAATTATACAACCAGTTTGGAAACCGGCGAGAAGGGCAATATACCTTTAGAAGGCATCCCATGAGGCCTCTTTTCAGGCCCACATTGAATCCGAGTGGAGCGGGAAATTGTCGGGCTTTTCCGTTGTGCTGGGTGTGGCCGTAAGTCCCAGCACATTTGGTGCGCCTTGCGAAGTTCTAGTTCTAATTGTAATTACCTGAAATATTGCACGCGAACGCCGTTTCACACACAAAAAAAGGATTATGTCTATTCTTTTTTATAGCTCAACTAATACCCAACTCACACGGCAGCGTAAAGGTACCTTTAGCCTAGGTCCCCCAGCTAAAGGTTTTTGTAGTAAACGGCATTCTTCATCACACGATAAATAAACGGAGCAGTTTGAGTTGATGTCAATTGCATTCCTGCTAAACTGCGAGAGGAGCTTATAAACAATGATTCCTCGAAATCGGTTTGACGCGCAGTTTTTGATTATTGCGTGTGAAATATCACGTTTAAAACCTAAATGTCATTTGTGTTTGCTTTTGCGGCACTTAATTATTTTTCTTTAAGTCTAAGCGCGCAACTAAATGAGTCTCGTTTTAAAGCGTCCAACCCGTCTGGCCACACTGGCCCTAAATCATCTCCGTTTACCAGTTTCAATTACGAGGTGGGGGACCTTTTTCTGTTTACCAGCTCCACTTTTCCGGAAAGCTCTCACTCAAGTAGCTAAATAGTGCCCGGCAGAAAAGAACCACGTCGGAGTCTCACGGTTACGCCAGTCACGCCATTGAAAGGGATGGACGACGACAAGGATAAAGGGTCCTGGGCGGGAGAGCCCGACGACTCGTCTACAACCTCGAAAAAGAGCTCGCAGTGCTCCATCGCGTGCGGGTTCCTAGCAGACATTGCTTTCCACGCTCCGCCGCTGCTACCTGCTAACTGAAGTATGCCTACCTCGTTAATGTATTACTTCATCGCATTTGTGTTCACAATAATTTCATAATTTGCTACTTATATATATTCAAGTTATTATAACGCATTAAACAAGGTAGGATCTGTGATATTTATTTTGAGCTCGTGGGTCCGAGGCTACTCCCTGTAGCTGTAAAGGGAGCTTGGCGAGCTCCGTTTAACACAGGACCTCCCTTAGCGAAAGGGATCTTTATGTGCTGTGTGATCACGATCTCCAGCTCCCTTTATTACAGGTACTTGTGCCAAATGTACCGTTACGCTGCCGTATAAGTTGGGTATTAGAGCTGGTGAAATATTTAAAATTTGTAAAAACGGCGGCCGCGCGTTTTCAATGTCCTATACCGGATGCTCCTGGTCTGCGCACAGTTGTTTGCGAGCTTTCTCCAAGAAGATCATTGTAAATACATTTCCTTAAAATTTCTATTTATCGCAATTATTCTACTTGTCGCCAGCCTCTACTCGGCGCTCACAGCGTTTTTGGGTTCGGCAGTCCCTCCGGGAGAGAGCTCGCAAACCAGCAGACTTGTACGTAGCTCAACTACTGTACTCAGGTTACTGTAGTTTACCTACTTTTTTGAGTAGTTTAGTAAGTTTCAATTACATTTTTATTTTGGTAGTTAGTAGTTTACTTGAATTACTTTTTTCCGAGTAACTTTTACTCAAATTACAAACTACTTTAAAATTTTAGTGGTAAGTTTGCTTATAAACAAACGTTCCTGCACAACAAAGATATGTCTGAAGATCAGCTGATTACTGCAAATAGGGGGAATCATGTGGCCTAGGCAAAGGGTGGGGGGGAGGAAGGGGGGTGTAGAAGTTTGATCTGTGCGGAACTCCCTAAACCTTTTCACGAGCACTGCAGCAACCCTGCTACGGGGCGCGAGAAGCGGACAGACACATCGCAAATGAGGCCTAGTAACTGCGGGATTAGCACCGAAGACTGGCGTTTCTTGGTGTCCCGAAGCTCAAGGAGACTTGAGGCGTTTGAAGAAAGGGATTGACCCTGCTTCTTCCCAACGTAGGAACTCTCGAACACTACAGGTGGTGTACACACTGCATCCTCACTCAAAAGAGTTAAAAAAGTGCAGCAGCCGCTCTGAATCTCATATTTGTGCTCCTGTATAGTTTGTGCTGTCTTTCGAGAGGTCATCTGGTCATTTCTCTGAGTGAAGTAATCTCGGCTATAAGACCGATACAAATAAGTGCTTAATAAGTTCATTGTGTTAAAAAGTTCGTCAGTGAGAATAAAACGATTACTCTGTGGCGACCTATACAGTATCATTTGCCGCTATTTCCGAACAAAAAAACTGATGCACCTCCGATTTTCCGCTCTTTTCGAAAAAAAACGGATGCACCTCCGATTTTCCATTAGCAATCCATACAAATTAAAAAAAAAAAACGCTTTATAGTGGACGAAAGGTCATTCTTAAAGATTGTGTTAAAAAGTACTTCTACTTTACCTTGAAAGTACATTGCATTTATAGTATTTTACTTAATGTACATTGCACACCCGGTGTGCTTACTACTTTACTCGAAGTACATACCTTCTCATTTACTTTGCACTTCCAAGTAGTTTCTAGACGTACTTTACGCAACACAGCAAACAAGCTAACACTGTCTGCAAAATTAAGCTCAGACAGTGCTAAACCACAATAGACAAACGATGCACCCGCAGCACATCATTCACCAAAAAGAAACCAACTAGGCCAACAAATCATTTTGCTGGGGCTGGAGCCAATGGGACCGAGGCCGAAAATCCATCAGCTTTACTTCGCTCCTTTGGGATCGGGGAAACTGGGTGCCATTGTCTCGGCATTTCGCTTGGTTTCGTAGCTGGGAGCTGGCTTCACTTGGAGAAAGGATTTAAGGTGCCGTTTTCGCGCTTCAAACTGATGACGTCGGCTCGCTCCTTGAGACAGTTAATGCTTTCGCATTAAAAAAGAAGTACACAACAATTAGGCATACAGAAGCAGTGTCAGCTGCTAAAGCATTTCTGTACAAACACAAGCAGCTTTATATTCGGCTACGTCCTCGTTAGCATAAAAATATAAAAGTTTCTGCAAGAGTAATTTGCTATTTTTATGGTAAATAGTAATTTACTCAATTAATTTTTATTAGAGCAATTTATACTCTACTCAAATTACTTTTAAGGCTGATACTCAGTAACTTAACTTAATTGCTTTTTTTTAGTAACTTGTACATATCTCCAAACTAGTGACCGAAATAATGGAGAATGCGTTTTGAGCTGCAACGGTAAAAGGTAAGTGGGGTGCGTCAGGATTCAAAGAGCTGTCTTCTGTAATTTTATCAATAGCAAAATATAAGTCTCAAAGACCAGACCTTAATACAGCTTGTTAAATTTCAATTAAATTTATAAAATGTTTCTTTTATACACTCGCATAAACAAGAAGCACGTGCTTACACAAAATATAGGATGCGGTGGACTGCGTTTAAGCCATCACCTTGCCAAGGTATTCGTATGTCATATAGACAACATATTTTTTAGCTCTTTGTTAAATGTATCATTGCCCTAAAAGTATAGCAAATATTGACGACATCAAGTATTATAAATACTTTTAGCGGACGGAGTAAACCAGTGTTCAGCTGTTTTATCGACTTGTGTAAAGACTCACCTGTAAGAGTGCTAACCCCGAGGCCGACTACGATAGTCAAAAGCATCGCAAAAAAGCCACTCCAGTTCGAAGAGAGCCGGTGAAGCAGAAACAGTGGTTTTGTTCTGTAATCAAAACGACACAAAACCAGTTTCATAAGGTAATTCATATTACTTCTGGGCATACTGCCCAAAGGAGACGAATATGCACTCGGCATTTGTGCACAAAATATTCAATATTATATTCCCTGCATGTATAGGGAATTTCGCGCAGGGAATTAGACCGGAGACATCGGCGCCTGCACTTGTATAGTTCGGACTTTCACCGAATGCGCGTCTTGGTTGTTCATTTTACCTGGGGGAATTTGAAAGTTCCTTACCACAACAAATGAGCTGAACAAACTTTCCAGGGTTCAATATGAAGTAGTTCGCAGACGACCGTGTAAGTGGTATTTATGCTCGCTCGCTGTGTTTTGTCGTGTGCGCGCTGTGCTTACGGTAGATGGCGCCACAAGCACCAGTCGTCGCTTAGAGAGCCTGTATTACAAAGCGTTTCCAATTGCTCGATGGGGATCACGTGGATGATGGGCCATGCTTGCAATACAAGCTGCGAGAAGGTGGCGAAATCGTTGATCATCTGCAAGCGTCTTCACCTCTCCGCCTGCTATCCTCCTCGCTACGCGCTGGAGGCATCGGACATTACATCGCAAACGCTCGGCACGATTTGAATTGGACCCTTTCTGCAATCTAAACTCTCTGCCGTCGTTCACCTGGTCGTCTGCGAATACTCCTGCCGTTGACCCTGGGAAGCTTATTGGTCGCATTTTTTCACAGGAAGTAAGCTACGCCTCGAAATGTCCCTAACTAAAATTCATTACCTAAGTGCACATTCGGTGAAAGTTTAAACTCGACATGTGCAGGCGCCGATTGATCCGGCCGGTTTTACAGCGCCGCTAATATTCATTTATGACACTATACATGCGCTCATAGAAGTAAAAAATAGATTATTGCGCGCTTAGACACCACCTGCAAGGAAGGTTCCGCTTACAAAGAACTCTCCGCCCGATGCTCAATGCCTCGAAGTAATTAGAGATTGGCGTGGGGGGTGACGCCATTCTTCAGTTGGGACTTGGAACAAAACTCAACCGGTTCCGAAGTCACGACACACTTTAGGCTCTACCTAGAACCTTTTTTCACACCTTTCGCGATTATCCGTTGGGAATGCTCTTAGTGTTATCCTAAACATGCAGACTGCACAATACGGTTAGCGCGAACCCGACCTTGGCGCTTATCCGCATCTTACTTCAAAAGGTTTATTAGCGGGCATCAAAATTTTCAGTCTACGTTAGTCCCCCGAATGAGACCTTCGCATCAAACTTCTAGTTTGATGGTAGCCTATTGCCCAAGTCTCACTAGAGCGACCAACAGGAACAACCGACACCGACGTGCCTCAAATGGGTGCAGCATGCACGCGATGGTTCCTTTGGCAGGCTTTCAGCTTATCGGTGCTCGTGAACTAAGCGTGAGTGATTCGAAGCCTGCCAAAGATACTTTCGCGTGAATGCTTTACCGGTTTGGAGCTTGTCGGTGTCTTTTGTTTCTGTTTGTCGCTCTAGTGGAACTCGGGTTCTAAAAGAAGGAGCCGGCGATTGCTTGTTCGCGTCAAAAGTGTCGCCCAATGAACACGCATAGCCACACATGACAAACCTCAGCCTAAGGTACAACTTACCCGTGGACATCCGGTGTCGACAAAGTGGACGTCGATTTGAGGATCATCTCGGCCGTGATGTTTTTGGGGCAGTAGTCTAGAGTGACGGGCATTCGGGGAGGGTGGATGCCCGCCTCAAGTTTTCCGGCCACGGCCCAAATCTGCAAGGCCATGGTAAAAATGGCGGACACAGCCGCGCCCTGTGAGCAGCAACACGTTCGCCAAACTGTCATTGTTGTCTTCCGTTGAAACGAAGCAAAGTTCAATCCAATACAAATGTTCGACTTTAATTGGAACAGATAAAAACAAAAGGTGAGACTTTGGTTAGTGTAGGCTTCGAAATATATTTATCAGGCTCGGCGAACATTAGGGGAGGGAATAATCGTCACTACAAGTTGACTAACAAACTAAATGTTTTTTTTATTATTTCTTTCAGGGGTGGTGTGGCAATTGCAGTATTGCCTGCAATTATATTATTGGAGGCAACCTCAATTTTAAAAATTTGCAAAATTTGTAATGATTTATTGCATATGAATCGATATGTTTTCGCGTTTTATCCTCTGAGTTTAAAGTTGAACTAAAAATTTCACCGCAAGCCCTGTCCACAGTGCCGCTTAGAAGGGTGACGTGGTCGTTTCGGACACGTCGTTACTTGTGTCGTCGGCGCACCCGCCAAGGACATACTTCGGCGATAGTGGCGACATGGTTGAAACGAATAAATCACCTGTACAAATACAATACTATTTAAATTCTGCAAATATTTGAACGTTCGCGCCTGGCACTATAGAGGCTGAATATGTTTACAATGTTTGGAATGCTACACGTGTTTATCCGGTAAACTATTCCTGCTTGAGTTCTCTATCTTGTTTCAAACTCGCAACGAATAATGGAAAAATATACAGTGAACGCATTAAAACAATCCATGATTAGCACCGTCTGTCTGACCTGAGATAGACAACAAGATATGTATTTTTTTCCCCGGTAGGATAAGGAACGCACGCAGTTAAGACAGGATTTTAAAATCATGATTAAATTCATTTATTATTGATTGAATAATTTGTCTTAACAAACAAAATATATAGGTGCTAGTGATATGATGGAGATTACATGTGATGAAAGCATTGGTACCTCAGCCTCAGGAACTTTTTATGGGATGTGTTTCTATGTGGTCTAAAACAAGCACCCGAATGCAGATTGTGCCACATTCGTTGTAGACCAAGTATAAAAACTCTCATGTGATTCAATGACCGTAAAAATATATTGTTCCTCAAGCGTTACAAACACTGCTGATAGTAGGACAATTTGTTTTTCGGATGTGTCATCGCAATCTTTTTTTTAGTCCTCTCTTCAAACCTTAAAATGAGCGCAGTATGCAATCTGGCTGCGTATAACTCGAACTATAGTTTTGCGCACTAGGCCATCCGTTTTTGCGCACTGTTCAAGACACAACTCACCTTAGCGTTCACCCAAGGAAATGCCAGGGCGAGCAGGTACAGCCCTACAAATGGCCCAGAAATACTGCCATAGACCACCATGAAGACCTGTAGTGTGTTTTCAAAAGATGCGTTTAGTGGTAAAATCGATAAGAGTATACCACCGAGAGGGGCAAGCAAGTAGGATGGGTTCTCAAAATCAATCCTCACAATCTTCGTACTAAGCCTCTGATCCAATAGTCCCCTTTCAAAAGACCGTGCCTACGCCCGTCCGACATTGCTTGCTCACATACTATGTGCATGTATTGGACCCGAGTGCTGAGTCAGTGTTCGGCGAGGACTCGGGTCCAATCACGCACTTTGTGTTTGAGCAATGGCGACTGCCAATATTTCTTGATGAACTTCTGAAAAGGGTCTAATAGACCCTTTTCAAAGGGACTAATATACCGTTTGACCTATCATATATTTTATCGTAGTAGAATACATTTGGGGCAGGGCTGACCAGGGTAAAACGTGAGACGAGACGTCGAGACACAAAAACGGGACGCGCAAGTGTTGTGACCGAGAGAACAATATATGGTGTCAACGTCGCAGAAGCGCCCCACCTCTTGTGAATGGCGTCTTACCTCTATTGGCATTCGCTGGTGTAAGAGATCATGTGACCATAGCGACCACCAATTACGTTCTCGCCGGAAGTAACGGTATGTGAGCCTCAGAACTTAAACGTTTACGCTAAGATTTACTGAATCAAAAACTATTCTGACTGTATATTTTGTCGAATACGACAAAAACGTTGCCACCAATTTTTATTTCTCTCTCGTCTAGTCTTTGTTCTTATATACCGCGCGTTCTCTCATTACTGTAGTCGTGAAAACGCTGGGGAATTGTTGTAAGCTTGAACTGAAAGCCGGTTTAACTGATTAGTACCGTCGAGACAAACCAGCCCTTTCTCGCAAAAAAGACAGTGGTGATCGGAAAAGCGACCGATTCGGGGCAGTTCAAGACTAAATAACTCCACGAGAGAGCCATAGTGCCGCGAATTGGCGCTGCTTCTTAGGAACTCATGGCGCGAACGGCGTTCCAATGGAACTTCAGAGACAGCCACTAGATGCAATTTTGAAATCAATTCATTCGTTTTAAAATTAGTCTTCTTGACCTCTCTGCCCGCAGCATAGAAACACTAGGCTAATGTTTCTGGGCGGCCGACACAACATGGACCACATCTAAACAAAGAACAAAAAAGTGCAAACATTTCGTTCCCGTACCCCTTTAAAGATCATATACGATTACACGAGCATCTCATGACGAAAATGAGTGGATCCGTTTCGCGGCTGCGATTTGAGCGCCAGTATGAATGCGCCTTAAGTTCGGGGAAGGAATAACTTACCCGAATTGCAGGACCCAAGTAAGGGATCGCGATTGCGATGGCCGTCATTATTGCGCCAAAAGCGAATGCTGAAAGACAATTGACAGGTTAGTGGCTTGTTATGCAAAGCTCAGTGCTTTGTGCCCATGGTCACCGACAGGATAAAAACGACAGAAAGTGCCTTTTGGGTCCTCCAGCAAGCACTCATTGTTACACTTTTGTCGCGCATTGGCTGCGCGTGCACGCTCAAAGATCAAGAGTCAACAAAGTGTTCTTGAATCTAGGAAGCTCGCGATGGCGGCGGGACGACTGAGAGTCCTTCCTGGCGTTTCCATCTTTTGAGTATACTATTCTCCGAGAAACTGCGGGAGAGCAGGAGATGAGAGATCGTGGTGACGTCACAACGCCTAGCTCTGGTTCGAGTGATTAGTGGGTAGACCCAAAGCTATAGTCACCCCTGCCCTCATCGAACGTGTTCAAATGCGAAAGCCAAACGCCGGAAACAACGTTCCGCGTTCTAACGGTTTCGACAAATGCAGTGGAGACAAAAGCAGCTATAGCTTTAGGTAGTACCCACTACTCGTTTCTACCCGAGATCGGCTTTCTGACGTCCCCGCTTGCTCTCGCTTCCTCCTCCCCTCCTTCGGTTCCTCGGCGCATAGCGGTGTGAGGACGCCGGATCACTCACCTATACTCTTGGTAATAACATCCACGTACCTATCGGTGAGGTGTTTGAAAGGCGAAAGAATATCGATGTAGAATGATGCTGCCAGTGAGTTTATGACAGATGAGACTGTGCTGAAAGACGGAAACAAAATGAGAAAAAAGTGGGTGACGTTACACTTAGTTGAGGATATGAAATCGTGAACTCATCGCGCAGATAGCAATGGATTTGGCGATGGTTCACCGCATATTTCAACTACAGAGGTTTACCTCAACGTAGCACTGACGACGCCAGCCAGGAAAAGTCCGGAGAAACCAGGAAATCCGGCCAGCCTCTTGTCCAGATAGTGCGGAATTAACTGCGAATGTTTTATTAAACACTGACGTTAGATAGAAATGTGTATATCATATCTTAGGAAGCTCACTACGCCTCCTCTTAAATCTAAATATATATATATTTTAAGCGGGAGGGGTGCAATGCTTGGGCGACACTTCAATTAAACCTCCGTGTCAAATATTTTCATATGACATTGATACTGTGGGACGCGACGTGTGTCATAAAAACGTGAATCGCTATCTTGCACTTTTACGTGAGTGAACGTAAAGTCTGCTTCGCACATTTGCGTTTGACTGCGATTGACTGTGCGACGAGCGCGTGTGATGGTTTGCGACGAGAGAACGCACTGGCAGGCTGGGGCCATCTATCGGAAGACCTCGAAACCTTTTTTATTTTTCGCGTATACCTCTAGCCTGCTACAGATTAAAGTGATCGGGACCAAGCTCCTTCCCCAAAATCCTCCAATAGTGGTTGGCAGAGAGCTTAGTGGGAGGTGCTTCGAGACGATGGAGTGAGGGCTTTGCAATATTTGCGAGATGAAATCTACGTTTCACCTATGAGAGATTGCCTCTTGCAACATTGTCCACATTATTTCCGTCCAGAGATTGGCAGTAATTGAAGTACAAATTTTTGAAATAAGTGTTTAAAATACTTTGCATATTTTGTATTTCGGATTTCATTACATAATAGGTAACGAATTTGTTTATGGTGTTTAAATACTGATAGTTTAGAATGTCAAGTACGTGCATCTCAGATTCTTCCTATATACAATTTTCCGTACTGTGCTTCGCAATTAAATGCAATTTTGGTCACTCTTCACGATGGGAGTGTATGCAAAAGAGCACGACACTTGCATCGCTTCGCGCACGATTAAACGCCAAGAAAGGAAAGAAAGAGAGGAGTAAGGAATGAACGGGGTCTGGGTGTGTTTGTCTTCTTGGCTATGTGACTTTATTTTCTTAAATACGTCGCATTAACTGAAAATATTTTGTTGCTTCAACTTTGAAATTAAACTCACACTGTATGCATTGTTTTTTTTTTTTCTGGAGTTGTACCCACCTGTTTTTCACAATCAATTTATATTTTTAGAGCTGCCTTTTTCTCTAAGCATTTGATTCTGGGTCATTATAGATTCCACTCTTGATTTGTTCACGGTCTTTATTTTATCCGGGGTTAAATTTAAGTCGAAGATATCAGACCATCAAAACTGGATGTATTCGTAATAATATTTGAAGGTGATAAAATTTTCTCGTTCCATTGTCGCTAGTATTTAAACACTTTTCGACAAAATGCAAATTGGTCTTTATTTCATACATTTTTGTCCAAGTATTTCGTAATTGGGCTTTGGTACATTTTTGCAAGTATTTTGCCTATCCCTGTTTAAAGTGCACGGTAAAAGAATGGTGCATAAAATTTACGCCGAAATTAAGTGCTCCAGTGCTACACGACAGATGGCGCCAGTGTATTATCTCGTTGCAAGCCGTCACAAGCCTTCGCTATGCCGTCGATCACCCTAAATCTTTAGCAGTAATCCGCGTTTTTTTTTTTTTGTTTGTTTGTTGAATACATATTTCGTTACCCAATCGTTTTAACTTGACGTTTTCTAGTAAAAACTCATTGAATAATCGTTGCACAAAATATGACTGAATAACGTTGTATTAAAACGTTTCCGATAGTCGTAGTCGGTCCTCACCTGTTCTATTTTGGTGATGAGTCCCGCAAGGAGAGGGTCGCAGTCCCGGTACCAGTACACCAGGGATATTGCCACAGATCCAAGAAAAATGTAGGAAATCACGAGGAGGATGGTTCCCACGTACGCCGTCCTGCAGAAAGGATCCTCTTGCATTCAAATTGCTCGATCATATCTCAGGCTGGAACACACACTTGCGTTTGACTGTGATTCAGTGCGTTGCGTTTCCTTCTAGAGCCTGGACGCACTGGTACGGTGGCGCGATCTATCGGGAAGGTCTGGAAAGTTTCCTACATGTCACTAAGTATGGCAATTGACATGGTGAGAACGGCAGAGAGGAGCTTCAGTTGTCCGACTTCTAGCGCGAGCTTTCTACCTTCAACAATGCTTCGGCGTTTCGTGCACCTCGAGAATGCGCGTGCAGCCGAAGCACGGCGGAAGGCATGAAGCGCGTGCTGGAGGCCGGGAGTGCGAAGGACTTGTCACCCTGACGTTCTCATTTTGTCAGTTACTATAGACCCACACGCTATTTACAAACACGCCCGCGTTTGCCCACACAAGGTGTGGGCACTGCGCGTGCGCAGAAACCGAATTCGCGTGAGGTGAAGCGTCTGCGCATGCGCAGTGCCGTCGACAGCGCCACCACAGCTGCGTGACGTCAGGGTCGCGTGTTGGTCTATAGACTGAATGCTTTGCAGTATGTGCGGGATCAAATCTACCCGCTATTTATGAGAAATAGTTGCGAACGTTGTCGAAATTATTCGAAGCCTGCGGGAAAAAAAAAGATGTGCAAAAACAAAAACAAAATATAGAAATACGGGGCGCCCCAGGCGTAATTTCCCTTGGTAAACAAGCAGGAAAAATCGGCGCCTGCACATAGAAAGTTTAACGTTTCACCGAGTGTGCACGGATCAGGTCACTTCTGTAGCTAAGGTTTCCTCACGTTTGAGCTTCTTGTAGCGTCCTTGCTGCTGCGTACCGTTGCACAACAATCTGGTCCATGCCCATGCGGTAGAAGTGTGAACAGCTCACAGCAATCAGGGACGCCCAGACGTTCTCGTCGTTAGTGAAATCCAAGCTGGCCCTGTTGAGAATAAAGTGAGATTAGAAACTTGCAATGAACCCGATCTGGGACTCGTGAAACTTTAGAGCTATGGAAGTATCATAGGTCAAGAGATTACAAGCTGCAGCTTAACTTCTTGAGAGGTAAATAAGCATTATAAATATTAAATGAAGCAACACAGCTCATATAATATGTGTTATGAAATGGTATCAACGGCAGATCCAAGTTCGGCTTTGAGAAAAAATATCTTCAAACTAGCTAAAAATATTGGAGTCCAAATCTTGTGTTTTACAGAAAAAGGAATATTATGTCAGCGTGGCTAATCTGAGGGAGGCTGCATTATTTTACCTGCGCAGCAAACTAGACTCCTTACTATGTTTAAGGGGAAAACAAAACATTCAGAAAGCGTTATGGAACTTGGAGCAGTGATCTGTAATATCTATTTGTCATTTCTGTGTTCTTTCGTAACTTTCTTCGCTGCAAATATATGTGTCTAATGGTGTGCTACAATTGTTGTCCTTTCGTTGTTGCTGTTGTCGTCTTAACGTTCTAGTGAATGTGTACATTTCGAACGTAAACATTTCAAACTGGTATATGCAGTCTGCAATATGTTTTGTTCGGTCATAACCGAGGTCAGGTACACATGCACTTTAGGCTTTAGCTGTCTCGATAATGTTCTGTGCTCACGTGATTATACTACAGGTAGAACTTTTCTCTTCTTTTATCTTCACTTCATTTGTTTTATCTTCTCTTCTTTTATATTCTATTTTATTGTTATGTAGTATTAGTTTCTAGTACGTTCCCGGGTCCCTTCGTGTATGAAAGCGATACGATATTTTTGTTGTGTTCAAACGAACATACTCGAATAGGTATGGTTTAATGTTGAGGTCACTAAGAGGGCGCAAGCGGATCTCTGGGTCGTAGAACGAGTCGTAGATGATCTTGACGATGATGGTGATAGGGCATATTAAAACGAGGATTCCCTGCATAGAGTCTGTCCAGACCACACCCCGAAGGCCACCCTGTGAAAAAGTATAAAAAGAAAAGTTGAGATACAAGTTCATCAGTACATCCGAGTTGTAAAGAGTAAAACGAAACCTAGTGGAGGTTCGCCTTTTGGAATTAAAAGTGTACTGACAAATTAGAAAAAAATAATTTTTAGAACTCCAGACATCTTTGAGAAGTGGTCCCTCAGCTATTACTTTGAGCGTGCTACACTTAACGACAAGAGGAACGCTTGCCAACATTGGGAAATATTATGGGCGCAAAATTTCAACTTTGTGTATTTCGTTTTATTGTATTATTTTCATTATACGATAAGCTGACAACATGAAGCTATACCATAGTATGACTGTGCATTAAAGCGAACTTAAAATCAATTTGAAAATGGCAGGCGCTATGATTTATATAAAATTGTTCCCAAATAAAATGGCGGCCAGCAAAAAAACAAAGTACAGCCTTGTGTTGAACACTTAACGTGCGATGCTTATGCTTGGTGTTACAAAGCAGTTTGAATTTATCATCATTTATGTGACTATTTTAATTGCAGTAATGGATAACTCCACAGCTCATATGGATGAAAACCAGGCATCTTCAGACTGTGGTCTATACCACTGTTTCGATCAACTATTTCGGTTTTGCAACCATCAGCGCCCTGTCTGCGTGTTTCTTTGTCCTGATCCTCCCTCTTTTTGTGGTGTTCCCACCAAACAGTATGTACAGTGAGTGGCCCATTTTTTTAAATATTATTAAGCGAGCGTCGACCACCGGGACGGCCAGCGCCGTGCTGCGGAGGCGTGCAGCAAAAGGGAAAGATTAAGCGCGTGCGCACAAAGCCCTTTCTGGTGGGAGCGTCGTCTGCTAGGCGATTCCGTTGATCGCACACAGCCCCTGCTCCGAAGCAAAGGAGGGCAGGGCGTTTGCAATGTCGAAGTGCATCGCCGATACGCTCCTCCTCTTGGAACGTGTTCACAATTTTATTAACGGTAGCCTGTATAACCCCGAAAGTTGGGCTTCTGGTCAAAATGTCCAACGAGACGAAATGTCCATCGAGTCAAAATGTCCAATAGGCCACGTGACACCCGTGTCAAAATGTCCATCGAGACGAAATGTCCAATCGGGTCAGAATGTCCATCGAGACGAAATGCCCATCGAGACGAAATGTCCAATCGGGTCAGAATGGCCATCGAGACGAAATGTCCATCGAGACGAAATGTCCAATCAGGTCAAAATGTCCATCGAGTCGAAATGTCCGAGACGAAATGTCCACGTGTCATTTTTTATCCGTTCCATGTTGTATACACGCTGTATGGCTTGCGTTAAGAATGCTTATTATGAAAGTTCTTGCAACCCTGTTCAATGTTGCTTATATCAAGTATGCTCGAGTCAGATATGGAATAGAAACGCGCGAAAAACTGCGGGAGGCACAGAATGCGCCGACCCCTGTCCAAGGCCTTCTGACTAATGCCACTGTCAGTGACTTTATTATAACAAGGGTGCAGTCATCTGTCCCCTTTATCGAGGGAAGGAAGCTAGGATGGCAGCGAACAAAGCATGCGATGCCGAATCTGAAACGTGCTGGGTTTCTTCGTGCACACTGCGTATTCATGTGCTCGCCCTATCCGGGGGAAAGATTCGGGGTGGACGACTTAAATAACGTAATGACGAATGCACGTGCAATGAGTAATTTCCTCTTGAGTCTCGTTTTAAACGCTTCTGCTGCAAACGTCCGTATGTGAACCTCGTGGACCTGGGCACGAAGCACCCTCCTTGGTTTTTATACATTAAAATTGGCGCAATATAAGATAACATTGTAGAGGCAAAAAGATACAGACGAAAAAGAAGACATAAAACACAACCTTTCTTTTTTTCCGTTGGTGTCTTTTTGCGTTTTTCATTGCTTTTAGTCATGAACCAACTACCTAATCCAAAGTTTTAGTTAGCGTTATTTTAACTTTGCTTCAATCACCTAATCCATCACCGTATCCTAATTACAAAATATATTATTGCATTTGCTGCCGTTATTCATCACGTTTAATTATATTGCCTTAGGTGTCTCCTAATTTGCAGGTTAAGGAAGGAAACCCTGTTTTAAGCATCGAAAAAATAAGCTGGAGCAACTTAAGTCAATTTTTCGGAACATATAGCGTAGTCTGATTCATTTTAGGCAATGCTTAGAAATTTTCAGTGCTTAAATGGTGGTCAATATAGCCGGGAATACATGAAGATGAACAGCGTCCGTCGCCGGGAACGTGCCTCATTTGTTAATTAAAAAAAAATCCCCCCCCCCCCCCCCCCCCCACCTTTTAACCAGAGCACAAATCTGAAATTTGACATTTTCTTCCAACCGCTAGGGTTACATTTTAGCGGACTACCAGCGTCCGCAACGTAAATTAGTTTTTCTTTTTTTCTTTTTTTTTGCGATTAGAAATATTTTGTTTTCCCCAAAAAAATGTTTGTCAGATTTCTTCAAGTCATCACCCTACTACCGCTTTCGCGAAAACCCGGGGCGCCTGTAATTATTCGGAATTCTAAAGACGTCCGTCTCAGCATTATGCAGTGCCAGAGTCTGGGCCAACGATACAAAGAGGTCAAAATGTCTATCGGGTAAAAACGTCCACCGATTCGAAATGTCCAATTGGGTCAAAATGTCCAAAGAGTTAAAATGTCCAACGAGACGAAATGTCCAATCGGGTCGAAATGTCCAAAGAGTCAAAATGTCCAACGAGACGAAATGTCCAAGCAGGTCAAAATGTCCAACGAGACGAAAATTCCACCGAGACGAAATGTCCAATATTGGACATTCTGACACGTTGGACATTTCGTCTCGTTGGACATTTTGACGTGGAATCCGAAAGTTGTTGTTATACCCCTTGGCGCCATGCCGCCCATCGACATTATAGAGTTTTAGTAGATCGTTGCGATACCTCCGATAGCCCCGATAACGATACTATGCATGCGCAAGGGAGGCGGTGGCGGAGTATCGGGTATCGTTATCGGAGTCATGGGAACGATCTACTAAAACTTTCTATTCTCACAACACGTTCCCGTGTTTCTATAGGCACTCGAGGAGGCATAAAAATGTGCGCGCGCCCCAGTGGCGGATTCAAGGGGGGGGGGGGCGATCGCCCCCACCGCCCCCCCCCCCCCCCGAACGCCTCGCCAGGCAACCCCCCCCCCCCCGGGGTTCTTCGTCAGCTCGAAGAAAAAACGTAAGCAATCGACGCGAGAAACAAAAGATTAAAACAGCGGTGCGTGGACGCGCCTGCTGGGCGCTTCCAAAGTGGGGTTTATCTCCGTCAAGGTCACGGTACGTCTTCCCGAGAGGGACGGCGCCAGGAGTTTCGAAGTGGAGAGACAGTGGGGAGGCGCACCAAATGTCAGGGTCCTCGACTGCAGGCACACTTCCAAACAAGGCCAGCACGTCGAGCACGGGGGGAAAATACCTTCAACATATCTAGTCCCCTTTCTCTCTCTCTCTTTCTGTCTCCCTCTCCCTTTTTGGGGGTTGTCTGCGAAAAATTTGTGCCCTGAAAGCTCCCAAACGCAGACGTCAAGCAGCCTTCCTCAAGGGTAGCGGATTATCCTTCCTCTCTAGCGGCCGCCTTTTCATCACTTTTCGTTTGATGGTTTCTTCGTGGTTCTGGGCTTGTCTTTTGGCATGTCTTTTTTGGCTAGCTTTGAGATGCTGTCGCCCACGGGCTCACTAAAGATATCTTATTGGCACGGTGTGCTCATTGCCAAGGCAAGTGCGGAGGGGACGTACCGGGAGGAGACGTTCCAGGCGGGGGGATGCAGCTTGTACAACCAGGTGACCAATTGCTTTTCTTCTCAACTGAGAGAGGAAGCAAATGCTCTGGGTACATTGTGGTCGGTTTGAGCTTCTCCTGAAGACGCTCCGGACTTCCCCACGACCTTGGCTTAAACATAAGCCCGCGTTCGTCCTCGCCTCCATCCCTCACTGAGGATCAGCGCCGCAGCGCGGAATTCGCGACTCCAGCAAAACGGACGCCACCAAGCGGGAAAACCGGGAACCAGCCGGTCCAGGTCGCTCCTCGCCCCCCGCGTCTCTGGTGGCTATCGCGGGCACGTGTTGTCGGCGCGGTGGCGGACAGTGTAATTTCACGAAGATCCGAACATTTCTTAGGTTTGCCCGAGTGTTCATTAGTGTGGCGAAGCCTCAGTAGGTTGTTTCCTTCCATCACGTGTTTTCAACTTCTTGGATGGAAAGGAATCGCGGGAAAACGTTTTGATTTCTTGCCTGTCTCGAATCACATTCAAAGTGACGACTACTTGGTAACTGATAAGTGGTTTCTTTATACGGATGTAGAACAGCGGACTGAGGACGACAGACGAGGTGTTTCACTGGAGGGCACATCAATCCTCAAGTGAATGAGGTTCGATAACTGCTTTTTTTTAGTTTGGTTGTGTTCGATTAGCTTCAAGATTGAGCCACCCACGCCGGTCGGTGCGTTGGCTACTCATCTTGGCTGCTTTTCGCCGAAAAATCCTCTGGACCACTCTGAAGGAGTTGGGCTGATTTCGCAATTACTTGATTCAGGAAAGCCTGCTCGCTGCAAATGATAAATGAGGGAAATTATCTGTTTTCAAAAGGTGGGGGACGCGTCTCGCAACGTTAGACGCTGTCACGGCATTATGATCTATCGCGCCTCCAATATTTATATTATACCCCCGTCGAATTAAGCCAACAGCAATATACGTCTACATTGCTCAGGTTGACCGGCCACAAAAATACTCATTTTTTCCTTTCAGGATTCGAAGTCAAGTTCAATGCAGAGAGGTTCTGCGTGAATCTCCAATGAAGACTCTCAATTCAGTTTGTCCGCATTCGTCTCCGTGCTACCGGCTAGAACCATTTGGCTAAGTTTAACTTAGTATCTCTCTGTCTGTCAAATATACTTTTATTCAGTAGTTCACCTAATAGCTAGTTACCTAAGCTTATATTTCAAACCGAAGAATATACTAATATCGCTTTAGTGGGACCCCCCCCCCCCCCCCCCATAGTACGCAATATAATACTTAACCCGCTCGTCAAAATGACTTCTCGATTGCTACTAATACCTGAATTGAAATACGAGTATCAGCTGCTTAGTGGGGTCCCGGCGGGTTAACATGCTCCTTGGCTCAAGAAGCGCTTGCTTAATTTTCGTAATTTTCCTGCACCCTGTGTTGTTGACCGAGCAGACGACTGAAGCTGTTTCTTAAACGCGGATACGCACAAAAGCTCGATTTCGCGGACAGATAAGTCGCATGGTCGAGGCATGCGAGTTGGCTGAAAATTACTGTCGGTGGGAGAATTTCGCAGTCATTGCCGCTTTCCTTAGACGATCAAAACTGATTAGTACTTTACCGTCTCTCCAGAGCCCATAGTTTCGGTTTCGAACGAAATCTCCAAAACGAAAGTTTGACATGAAAAGAACAAAAAACACACTTGGAAAACAAAACTATGCTCTGCAAGTTTATGTGCACCGGCTACACTTCACCGTCTCAGTTCAAATACCTATAAAATTGGGCATTAAAAAAAAGAAAATCTGTTAAAGTGAACGCGCCACCTGTTCAGGCGGCCCGGCCGAGCCGACGCGACCTAGACTCAGCCGCCATGTTTGTTTGGTGGTGGCGCCCCCTATAGGTCGCTGGAGTCGCGAATACAGAAAGAAGCCGACGAGCACCAGGGGAGATGTTTCCTCTAATGGGCTTCATACTGCCGGCGGTACGACTTCTCGTGGCGGGAAGCTAATAAAAGAAAGATAAACGGTACGAGCACTCTAAAGGCTGGAGGCTGCTTACAGGGGGTCCTCAAGCGGACGCCGTAGGCGTTTATTTGTATACAATGCCGTTTCAACTTAGGGTGGCGGGACATATTTTAGGAAAGGCGCCCGCTACCCCTTGTCTCCCCTTGGCGCCGTATTTTCCAGTTAAACGCGGCTTCTGTGGATTGACGGCAGAACTTTCGCGCGGCTTTGCAGGAGCGAATATGTGTGTGTCGAACGGACTTGGGGAAAACGAGCCCTTTCAAAGATGTGGCTATACATAAATTAAATAGACAGTGCCTGTGCCCGTTCGAGTGAACACCGACTCCCAAACATCCATGCTGCAGTCGTGATCGGCCTTTAGCCCAGTTGAGATTCGCCGACCTTACAACCGCTCTGCCCTATCATATCTCTGCACCTGTCCTCTCGACCCTGACGAATGAGCTAACTACCCAGAAACAAGTAAGTGTTCCTTTGATACAGAAAATATCCAGACGAAATGCAATTGAATATAATTTGGAAGGATCCATTGCTGGTTTAAGGTCTTGTCTAAGTTCAAAAGTTATAGTTGCCGAACTGCAACATGCTTTCAAAAATATTCAACAATTATTCGCTTTCGTTTTCTCAAGTTGCATCCAGAACACGTGAAAACACGAGTTTGGGTTGGCAATGCCGCATGTGCTGCGCTCTGGACATTCCACATATACGGCGAACAACCGACGAACTTGCATGGCAGCGTTCGTTTCGCTCGCTGCGTGAACAGTGTTTTGACGCCGCGAGCGGCGTCGAAGCCGCCGGGCCATTTTTGTCGCTTGTTTGCAACGTACTCGCTCCGCTGATTTAAGCCGCTCTTCCCGTTGCCGCAGCAGTTGAGCACTAGCTCCAACCAGAATGTCTGCCAAGGCAATGTCTTTTAGCTGCCCTAAATCGACTGCTCACGTAGTGTCGGTCTGAAACCCAAGTTTCAGAAAGGATAGTGTCACCACAATTTTCGAGATACTTACCTCTAGCGTGGTCACCCAAAAGGTTTTAATTCAAAGAGTTCATCCCCGACAGGTAAACCGATACAAAAGCTCTCAAGATCTATATTATGTTATCAGAGTTTAGTAAAAACGATAACTCCACAAAAAATATAAACACTCCCCCCCCCCCCCCCCCCCCCCCCCCGTTTTACACCGAGGAACCGGCCCCCCTAAAATGGAGATCTGGATCCGCCCCTGGCGCGCCCGCTGGTCAAAGAAAAGTGTGACTACCCGGCTACATAGGCTAGATGACGACAGCAAGAACGCAGTTGATAATACAAAACACCAGGCGGAAACACTGTCTTTACTGCGTTTTACTTTGCGTTGTACCGCAGCCGACGCTACGAGCCATCTTGGTCAGTCCGTCGCTAAAAGTGTGTCACGTGGTCTTCCCATTGGGTACAACTGCACGTGAAAGCACGATGTCACGTGGCAGGGTGAAAGCACTGGATTGGTCGGATGGCTCGTAGCATTGTTTGGGGTATATAGTTTAATGCATCGCTGCATTCAGTTTGTCGCGTCACCGTATTTTTCTTGTTGGTGTTCACAAGATTAAACGCAAACATGAAATAAAAAGAAAGTAAATTAAACTCGAGATGACGCGCTGTTTATCCCACGCCTGACCAGTGTCGAAAAAAAAAGAGAAAATAAAAGCAAGCGCTGTTCAGATATTTGCTTAAAGGCGGTTAGCTATGCCAGCAGATAAAGATCGGGGCTTTGTGCGGTCAACGGAATAGCCTAGCAGACGACGCTCGCTACGGAAAAAGCTTTGTGCACACGCACCTATTCTCTCCCGTGACGCCGCATTTCTCCGCGGTGCAGCGCTGGACGTCCCGGCGGTCGACGCTCGTTTGATATAATTAAAAAATTTGGCCACTGTAACCACCAACTAGCCCAACTACATGCCTTGTATAGTCTTAAAAAGACACTGACATCTCTACCGTGTGATAGCCATGTTTTAAGCGGCCCAATGCCAAGGTCGCCGGAAGAAGCCAAAGTTTCGGTTCTCATTTCTGCTCACGTTTAAAGTAAGATTTAACAATATATATCCCATTTTTCGCGAAGCAAATGACGTAGTGCCTTTATTAGTACTTTTTAATGTGAAATAACTCATTATCCCGACGTTTTCGCAATTGAGCGGAGTTGCCCTTTAAATAAATAAGTCAATAAATAAATAAATAAATATATTTGTTTCTTTAGGTTGTAAGGTGCCCCAAGCTTGAAGGTCCGGCTTACCAGGGCAGTATACACAGTTCCTGCAGCTCCTATCGCCAGCGTACTCCCAACCAATGACACGCGGAAAGCTGCGGTGTTTGAAAAAAAAGTTGTAAACGCCAAAAGGTCACAACACAAAACAACTGGCAACTTTGCCCTTTGTTTGAGACCCACGCCGCTCCCTTCCTACATCGTTCAACTTTCAGCCATTTTTTATTCTTTGTATTGTTTTTGTTTTCTGCGCAGCCGAGGGAGGAAAAAGAAAGAAAACGTTCTTGGCCGAGTGAGCAGTGCCCGCGGATCCCATGGGGATGAACCGGGTGAACACCACCTATAAAATATTCAAAGCCTGTCCACGACAGTTTTGAGCAATGATACTTAGATAGAAGCCAGTTGGCAAGCTTCACGGAACGCCTCTGGCGCCTTTTGATGGCGTGTCCGGTCGGTGGTCCATTCCTACGCTATCAAACCATCTGCACAGAAGCGGGGTAAGCCGGGGCAACGTTCGATGCACATTTCCTGCAGTGGAAAGGGATTCTATTGCGGCTTTTAGTGGTAAAAAAAAAAAAAAAAAGTTTGCGCGATAGTTTGCGCAAACAGAGCATCCTTCGAAAACAGTACTTCTCCGTTGCTCCTGGAGGTGTTGCAGCAATAGCTGGTGGCGTGAAGCTTTTCAACTGACAGATCTAAAGAACGTTGGTTCTTGCCGTCATAACAGTAAGATCGATCGAAGACTAAGAATGCACTCAAGTGCTGCGTCAGCGTGTCGGCTTGGTCTCGTGTTCGATCTGCACGTCGAAAGATGTTCGGCATCGTACTCGGGTCCAATTGCTGAGTGGGCATCACCCGACCGTGATGTCGTTTCATGCAGAAAAAGAAGGACGTTCGCAGAGCTGTATTGTTTTATGTCGAGTTGGCGGGGTTTGAATCCTGCTGGCTAATTCGGAATTGACTTTTCGTTGATTCATTCGAAAGCTCCAAATAAGTCTCGTCATTTATGGGGCGCTTTTCATTTTAAGGCGTGCATGAAAAAAAGAGTAAGGTCTCAAAATGGTTTTTCAAAAAAATATACAGGGTAGGAAAAAAATTTTCTTCTAGAAGAAAACTGAAAACCGTGTTTGCGTCATGTCATTAATTGTTTCTTTTTTTAAGGTCTAAATGCGGATTTTACGATTTGGACAATCGTCACAGGTCGGGTATTTCGAAGCTTCGCCAGGCTCAGATACCTTCCGCACAGTAAATAATCTTCTTACGTGGTTTCTTAAGTTACAATAAAAGAGCTAAATATTCATAATGATCTGTTTGATATTTTTATTTATTTTTGTGAGGAAGCCTCCTTCGACGATAATTTACCTTGTCCGGATGATAGTACCTTTCATACCTAATGTTGCAGCACACACACACACACACACACACACACACGCACACGCACACGCACACGCACACGCACGCACGCACGCACGCACACACTATATATATACAGTGCAGTCCACTTATAACGATATTGAGAAAACCGCAAAATCCAATCGTTATAGCCGATTATCGTTATATCTGGATCAAATCAAATCTAAAAAAATAGCGATCAAATCTAAAAAATTTGATCGCTATAAGCGATATATCGTTATATCTGGTATCGTTATAAGTGGATTACACTGTATATATTCACCAGGTTGCATTTGCTAATCGTTTAATTCGTTTTACAATATTTCTTTTCGTGCCTTTTATAACTAGAGATTGGAGAGTTCGATGGGACACTACTCCTTGGAACACGCAGTGACCAAGGCATTTGGCCAATCGTAAAAAGTTGCTATATCCGACCACAGCTAAACCCTTGGTCGCGCACGTCGCCAATAATCGCCGGACATACGAACGCGGGTACTCCGTTTCGCCTTGCTAAGTATCAAATCAGCTGTAGAGGTAGGTTGACCAGTCCGTGTTTGTAAATGCGCAATTCTTCTATCTACATTCCGCCTCATGATGGACCCCACTCAAATCAATTCAATGCCTCGTTAGCGTCACTTGATCTTCGAGTGGGGCACAGTGACATGCGTGACGCATAGTCACGTGTAATATTCCACAGTGCTAAATAAACTACAAAGTGTCCTAAAAAAGAAGGGTTGCTTTTCTTTTCACTGCAAAAATAAACTACGTTTTGCCGAATGCTCATTCTCCGCCAAAATGTAGTGCTAGCTGTCCTAACCATGATGCCGAAATTTCAGAACGGACTGTTATTTCATTCAGAAGTTATAAGTGATGTCTGAAACTGGCACAATTCAGTATTCGAGAGCTCCGTCCGCCGCCATTTCCCCAGTGAGAATTTTAGGGAATCGCCTAAAACTTATGAATGAGATAATGCTCAGCTCTGAAACTTTGGAATCTGGTTCGAACTGCAAGCACTATATTTCGGCGGAGAATGAGCGTTCGGCAACGAGTAATTTATTTTCCTGGTAAAACAAAAAATTAAATTTTGGGGGTTATTTTGTAATGGCAGAGTTGTTTATACTGAGAAAGTTTGGCCTATGGACGGAACTTGCTTTCCGCTAGAAAGAACAGATTTTGCGATAACGGAAAGTGGAGTTACTTCATTACCTTTTTTATTCCTGAGAATTCGCATAGACTTCCTATGAGTCAGATCCCCGAAATGGCGGACGATCGTAGTAATCACCCGGTTGTCCGACTACGCTGCTGTGGTTGCCAGACTGTCAAAAGTTTCTCAAGAAGACCAAATTCTCTGACTCTGAACGGCTCTCGTATATGGTGGATCGCAGCCTCCTATGCGATCCAAGCAGAAGAAAATCCAGCGTGAGCAACTATCAGCGTCGGTGTGTCTTGGGAGGCGGGTTATCGGAATCGGCCCACTTCGCTGTCAAATGGTTATAAGCACAGGAAACTTATCGGTGTTATCGGTATTTCAGTTTCCTAGAGCGTGAATCTGCAACACGACAATTTGCAATCACCGCCTAGAAGGTTTTGGAGTGGAGTGTCACTTGCAATGGCACTACGAAGTCCCACTTTAAATGCTGGGACGCCGATAAGAACGCTGCGTCCATCCCTTTCGGAGACGGGTCAGTCCCGATAGCACGGCTGTAACATTTAAATTGGGAAGCTTGTGGCGGCCACCTATCCAGTGTGGCTGGCGCAGCCACCCCCAATGCGTAGCAATGATCCAAGTGTGGTCGCACGTAAACATTAGATCCTGAGAAAGGTGGCTGTTCATATTTGCGGGGTAATAAATATCGGTTTCTTTACGATACTTGGGCTAATCCATCGGAAGTGATGTCATTGGAGCTAGTTTTGTGATGAGCGTGGATCCAGTGTCATCTTGAAACTCGTGTCAATATATCCTTTGCAGAGTTGCGCGCCGTCTAATAGCTGCTACATTCATTATCCGAGTCCTCCATTGTTTGGGCAAGTACTTTGAAGATGCATTGCACACGAGGGCTACGTCATCGTTGGGCGGAGACTCGGATCCAATCATATGCGTCGTGCCCCAAAAATGGCGACCAGCACTGTTGCTTGATTGAGTTTTAAAAGGGTCTATTTTGTTTAACACAAGCACGCACGTGAAAAAGGAAAAAAAAATTTTTTTTATTATTGTGGCGTTTTAAGTTATGTAAGCCCGATAGTGTTTACATGTGACTGGTGCCTTCAATTGTTTTGAGTAAAATACGTCGCATGAATTATTCAAGCACGGCTCAGACACTCGCAAGTTGACTATGGCTTATTGACGTTCTAAAAGTGTTTGATGTGTTCCCGAAACGTAATAGCATGTATGAGTGTTCGTGCTCAAATATAAAGGCGCGAACAAACGTTACTTACACGTGGATATCGCGACTGCGGCCGCGAAGATTCCCACTGCTCCTTGAACTTGCTGGGGAAAGCATGAATTCGATTAGACTCGAGTATCAGCTCGAAAAGTTAAGAAATCACTCTGGTGCTCACGTTTAGGAGGAAATAGAAGACGCAGGCAGTTATTCCGACCTTGTTGCCAAAGCGCATCCTTAAGTACTGGGCAGAGGAGAGAGGCCGGTAAGGAACTATATATCAGGCCACGCTGCACGTACTTACGTTCACAGGTATAGTTTTGCATCCCCAAACTCTATCAGACTGCTATCACAGCCCTTAGAATGGGAACCGTTTATAATAATAAGTATATCCTTTATTTTTTCAGACACATAAACCTGGACCAAAAATGAAGAAATACTTGTCCGTGGGACAAACCAGATATTTTTTTCTCAAACAAAAACAAAACAGTAAAATAATGTTTCCAGTAGCAAACACCTTAGTATGCATTAAAATGGAGAGATGGGATAGCTGGTACATGAATCTTTAAACATTGCGCGCCGTAAAACAGACAAAAGAAAAGCAGGACACAGCACGAAACGGTTCAAGTTGTGTCCCTCTAGTTTTAGAGCGCAGCTCTTAGGCGCCCGTTTCCGGCTTGAGCGGCGTCGCCGTCGCCGTCGCCGTCGCCGTCGGCGTCGGCGTAACCGCGCGGTGATTATGGTTAAATTTTCCCACTAAATTTAGCGGAAAATCTTCCTCGCTAAATTCAGCGGTAAAATATTCTCACTAAATTTAGCGAAAAAAATTCCCCGCTAAACTTACCGAAATTATTTCCCCGCTAAATTTAGCGGAAAAGTTTCCCCGACAAATTTATCGGAAAAAATTCCCCCGCTATATTTATCGGAAAAAACTCCCCGCTACATTTAGCGGAAAAAATTCCCCGCCGAATTTAGCGGAAAACTTTCTCCGCTAAATTTAGCAGAAAATTTTCCCGCTAAATTTAGCGGGAAACACTCCGCCAAATTTAGCGGAAATTTTTTCCCTAAATGGGAGGCGAGAAGGAGAGGAAGAGGGGCATAGCCTCCTCTCCGTACCTTACTTTCCTCCTCCTCAAGAGCTACGCCAAATACCATGTAAGCCAATAGTGGCAACTCCCGCGGATCGCGAGCGAAAAGTGATCGCAGCGCCTCTGGCGAGCTCGGAGTTTCCGCTTGCAGACGAATTCTCCACACCGCATTGGTTTTGCCTATCTCCCTGCGAGGTGACCAATGAAAAAAAATTGTCTCCGGTATTCGCTGCTTTGAATGTGAAAAAATATGTGCCACCTCATGAATCAAGGACATTTTCTTCGCGTGGGAAAGATATTCGAGCTTGTAGAGTGCAATTTTCGGGTTCTCCTGAAGAAAACACTCTGTCAGCATTGACGTAAGCCAGGCAAGACACGAATGAACCTTCGCACTGTTTCTTGAAAGAGGGCAATGTAAAAAAGTTTAAGAACATTGCTATGTTTCAACTTTACTGCTCACATCGATCAATTCGTTTTGTTGTTGCAATTCCAATGTCTCATGAATGTATTGCTTAAAACCGTTTCGTCGAATACGCGAGCTGGCTAATCCCGATCGTCTCCGGGTCAAGAAGCAAAAGACAATTTCGAACCACGTACGTTACTGCGATGTCAGTATGCTCTGGAAGAAGTCGATTGTGCGCATGCAAAGCTGAAGCTATTACTAAAAAAAAGCACACGTTGGACCGGTTGTGCATTTCCTTCCATGTTTCAAAGTCTAGTTTGTTTTAATGTTTAAGGCGATGCTACGTCGCGGCCGTCTCTCTTCCTCCTACGTTTACGTTTTTTGTTTCCTTTTTTATTTCTTGTGTTCCCTTGAGGTTCGAACCATCGCGTATTTTGCTTTGCCTTGTTCGGCTTAGTTTTTGCTTTCTTTCCTTCGCTTCGTCGCTTACTACCACCGGTTCGTCTGCTACGCTATGCTCGGACATTTGGAGGGCCGTCTGCAACTTTGTTGTATTTTTTTTTTGCTTTTTTTTGTGGTAAACATTAATGGCGAGCATCATTTGCTAATTTTCAATGCTCCTGCCGACGCCCCGTGCGTTCGTCGTTGTTGAAGGAGGTCTTTGCTGGGTGATTTGTATCTTTGTATCGTCTGCTAACTTCTTCCTTTCATTCGCCGTTGTTCGCGACTTTTCCAGATTTCTTTTTATTTTGGTCTGGGATGGGGACCCCATCTTTTCTGCAAAATTCGGAAATTGTTTGCACGGTCATTTTTTTTTTTTTGTTGCTTATTTGTTTTTGTACTGCTGCAGAGGCTGGTGCGCTTGCTCTGGTAATTCTAACATGTTGTTTGCGCACGTTTTAATAATCACCTCTTCAGGTAAGAAATTGTGACAACGCAGTTTATAACGGATAAACGGTAACCTCTTACGACGTAGTTCGAGTAGCTAAACGCCTTTTTTCCGCTTCCCTGGTGCGCTTCAAAGGCGCGTGATCCCCCTGAGTGGCGTTTGAGACCTATAAACAAACTGCTCTATCTTTGTTTATGTGCGCGCTGTTATTTGTTTGCCGTAGCAGTTGCGATCAGTGGATTCCGCGTTGCAAGCGGACTGACCGTAATGGATTGTTTCTTCTGTTGGGGTGAAGAAACGGGGCTCGCAGAGCTCGAGGACGTCGCAGAGCCTATACTTTTCCATTGCGTCGTCTGCTTCCGTAGACTCCGAGTCCGCTAGAGGCGCCACTGTCACGTTCGCCACCGCTCCCATAGGTTTTCGGAGGAGTTTTCAGTATTGGCGAAGCTATATCGTATTTGGCTACGCTCTAATTCCGCGTTATAGGGGATTGTAAACGTCTTTCATCTTTTTACCTGTTTTACGGCGCATATTGTTTACAGAACCTTTCTATGATAAAGAAGAAATAACAGACACCTGTTAAGAAGTAATTACGTCGCGCAATATGTTGTCGGTTGTCAGTTTTTGGGCAATCTAAGCATATTGGCCATTTTCATCGCTTGTTTTTGGATCTACACTCACGGTTTCGTTGGACCGCTAGACGCTATGCATATCTAATTCACTTGAGAAGGCTGACGAGCGAACTTGCCGCCACACGTTTTCGTTTTAGCCACAAGGTGCCCTCGATTTCAGCGGTGTCGCCAGCATAAAGTAAAAATGCACTTGATACCCATTGGTCTCCTGAAGTTTGTAAGGACGCTTGTTTTACCTTAAAGTTCCTCCGGAGTTTTGGTAACAGAAACCCGAGAGTAATGCATTATCCTTGCCCGCATGCATCGCGCGTGAAGAACTTCGCCCAAAAGATCAACCTCTCACCTGGAACACAGACGTGACCTTGAGGTTGTAGATGACCGGGATGACAACCTTCGCAATGAAAGGTACCACGACGAGCACAGTGATGGAACCCCAGATCAAGTGGAGTCCGTACACGTAGAAGTGGGTTGTGAAGCCCACGATGCCAATAGCCGTCACCATGGTTGCCAGCACAGAGAGGGACAGAGGAATGGCGCCAAGTGAGCGACTTCCCAGGAACACTTCCTCCGTACCCGCGTCGAGATGCGTATTGCGCATGGCGAAGTACAGGCCGACACCAAGGTTGATCACCATTAGACCACCAAAGACGACGAACTCGGCGGGGTGGACCTGTGCCACCATCTTCATTCCGTTGATGTGATGGATCCCTAAAGTACGTTGTTCACTGGCCCGGAACGCCAATAGGGTCCTGCAGAGACCGGGAGAGCGTAAACACCGAGACTATCTAGCTTAGACATTGCGTCAAATGCAGTGGAGGTGCGAGAGCACTTGATGTAGTTTTAACGAGCACTGCTTTCTATCGAAATTTAGCAATCTTCCGGCTAAATTTAGTAGAAAAATTGTGACGTCCCGTCACGCAACACTGTGTCGTCACGCCACACAGTGACGTCATGTGACACCATGACGTGACGTGGTACTGTGACGTCATATGACACCATGATGTCAGGTGACTTTGGCTTTGTGACATCACCTGACAGCATGATCTCAATGCAATGCAACCAGCACAAGCAGTCAAGACCCCAGGAGGGATCCCATATAAAGCTATTGCTTCAAATCTGAAAAAGTCACCTCGGAAGAGGCTGAAAGCAGAAGGAGATAGCAAGGAGGTTGATCGAGGCGGCCTGCCTCAGTCGTCTACTACTATTTTGGGATAGGGAGATGAAAGTTGGAGGGAAGAATATATTTGCAGCCATATTTAGATCTGTCAATCAGGCCGTCATATGCAGAATCGCATTTTATGAGAAAAGTGGCACGGGCATCTGCACCCTTACGAGACGTCGCCTCGTCGTCCTTTCCATCATTTTTTTTTTTCGGCAACGTTGCGAATGCATGATTAGAGACGAGGAAGCATCGTATATGGAGTGGCCTCTGAAGGTCCGTTCACACTTTTGCGACTCCTTAGAACCGTGGGCCTCAAAACCTTGTAAAATTTCTTACGACGGAAGGACACATTGACACGCTGGCGCCATCTATGCGGTGACCTTTGAACTCCATTTCGCTGGAGCGAAGGTTAGGCGGTATTTACGGTGTTCGTTTGTAACGTAAACTTTTTTGAACAAAAATATTATTGCGTGAAAGAATTTAAAAATATACGGGACCGCTCAGTGTTACACTGCTACCCAACAAGTAGTGCCAGTCTGTCCTCTCGTCTTGAGAGATTGTAAGAGGTGCCAAGGCACTCGGTTCTAAGAAGTCGCAAGTGTGTGAAGGGGAATTTACGTGTCGACGCACGACGTGGATGTGCATAGTTGATTTTGGGTACAAATGTTCGGCCAGTCGGCCCCCACTCTTCTAAACTCGTAGTAACATGAAGAAATAAGGAAGTTTTGTGCATTATTCGTGCGCTATACGAAGTAGTTGTTACAAGGTTTGGTTGTCGGACGAAGAATAAACGATGCTTTTGGCGCTTGAAACGACCACGTCTTGATAAAATAAAGGCAAGTTAATATAGAATTTACACGCATCCAGACCCTTTTTGGGTCTATATGCGTGTAACTGGGTGAACTAGTTCACCAGTGCAGGAATCGGCGCATTCGATTCTACCGGAAGTTGCATAGCCACTGCATTGGCGCGTTCGATTGATCCCAGGTTTGAACGAGTTGAGACACAATTCCTCAAGACTTTTCAGCGACCCCGGAGTCAGTTCAGCGTCCGTGCAGAAGGATGACAAATAGAGCAGACGACCGTCCTCGTCTGTCTCTGCTCGCGGTGTCATTTCTCGGAGCTCTTGCTCAAATGTCTGCGATGTTTAACAGTAACGCCAATCGGATGTTACATTTTCTCTCATTTAGGAAAATAATGTGCTCGGGGTAGACACGGAATCCAGATCCTAAGCGGAGGTAGGAATTTGCATGATTAGGATATTCTAAAAGCGTTTTACGCCGGCTCGCGCGGGTCCGACTCCGCGTGCTAAACGATAAAAGATTCGCTCACGTCAGACATGTAAAGGTTACTCAAAGAAAGTAATTAAGTTAAGTTACTGAGTATTGGCTTCAAGAGTAATTTAAGTAAAGTAGAAATTACTGAAATGGAAACTAACTGAGTAAATTACTAACTACCGTAAAAAGTAGTGAATTACTTTTGAAGTTACTTTTATATTTTTATGGTAACAAGAAATTACACAAATGTAAAGCGGCTTGTGTTTTGACAGAATTGCTTTTGAACCTTTTTTATTCGACAATGATAGACTGCGGATGCATATCATTTATACTTTGAGGTTTAGCACTGCCTGAGCTTGATTTTGCAGAAAGTGTTTGGTTGCTTACGAGGTTGCGTAATGTACAATTAAAAGGTACTTGAAGTGAAGTGCAAAGTTTATCAGAGGTTATGTACTTCAAGTACATAATCTCAAATACACTACTGATTTATTGATTTTCGATTACACTCAGCAAGTTTCTACTCGAAACCATATTTCTATTATCACTAATTTAAAAATGATATAATCATAATTAGTTAATTAGCGAACTAATTAGTGAGTATCGCGCATTTTCTGAATTCCGCCAACACGAGTAATGCGGTCCCGAGAAAAATATTCTTTGGCTTCGAATACACTAAGTTTAGGAATTTTCGTCACTCTTACTTTTTGTCACTTTGTAGGCGGAGGAAAAAGAAAGAGAAGCGTAATATGGTTGCTCCCTGGGGTGTTTCTCGAGCCGCTGTACTCCTTTCCATCTGACACCTTGGCCCTTAAAACCATGACCAGGAAGCTCACTGATTAGCTGTAATTGACTAATTAGATTCAATGAAAAAATTCTGGCTTGAATGGTTTGATTCGAACAAAGTGACTAAGCGTTTTTGTTTTCTTTTTTCAATGTGTCGGAACCATGTTAAGTAGGAAGTCTTTTTATTATTGCAGGTGTAGCTTCTTTTATACTCGTTCGAAACATTAGTCAGCGAGTATTGCATAACCGTATGATCGGTAGATTAATCAATAAATTTCGCAGGCGTAATCGTTATTATAGTTTAACAGAAATGAAGGGTATAGCCGCTGATGCGATGGAAGGACAGGTCGCCTCCCACCGCCGCCCCAAACGCAGCCGGAGCACGCGCTCCCCTGCTGGGCGCTGACTTCGAGAAGCCGAAGCGCCGGGGCACGAGCGCTCCCGCCACGATTACGTCTTGCATCCCTCTTTCTCTTTTATTTATTCTTTAAATTTATAATAAAAGCAATATTTACACACACATGATTTCTCTTCTCAGCTTGTCGTAGTTCCTGCCTAACACTGTGCATTTCTCCAGCTGCCCTGTGCAGCCACAGTCTCGGCAGTGAATTCCCAGGTGTCCGGAGTTTTTGTTGGTGATAGTGCAGTTGTGCTCACGAAGGCGATCGTTGACGCACCGTCCGGTCTGTCCTATGTACTGTCGTCCACAGGTTAGAGGGAAGGAGTAGACCGCCTTTTCGGTACACTGTACGAAGTTGTTTTTATGTTTCTTCGTGCACTTGACTGTGGTTCTTGTGGGTGTGTTTACTCGCTTGCACAGGCTATGAAGTTTGTTAGGGGCTGAGAAGACGATGTCCAGGTTAACTCTATTAGCTATTTTCTTTAGAGCGTGGGAAAAGTTGTGAATATATGGCACAATGATCGGTTTTTTGGCCCTGTCTTTTTCTTTTTGTTTAATGTGGTCCCCTTGCTTGATGTCTTTGATGAGTCTTTCGGCCACTGATGTTAGTAAGGAGGTTGGATACTCTGCGCATTTTAATCGAGAGACTTGCCCGTTGAAGCTTGTTTGCACGGAATGGCAGCATGATTTTGTAAGTGCGTTGTTGAGACTTAACCGCACAATGCTCCGCTTAACAAGTTTCGAGTGCGCCGAGTTGAAAGGTAGAAGCGGCTTTTCCCCCCTGGGCTCATAGGTCCAGCATACATGATAAGGTAAAATAAAAAGTCGCAGATCCAGGAATCTTAACGAGTGGTCAACTGGAAGTTCGTGCGTGATGTTTAAAGGGTTCATGCAGCCTTTAAAGCTGTCTAGAACTTCGGCAACCATGGTTGTAAAGTCTTGATCATCGGTTTCTAGTACGATTAAATAATCGTCAACATACCGGAATACTTTGATAACTTTGGAAGTATCCAAGGTGTGCTTTAACTGCCTGTCTTGGTGGGCAAGATAAAGGTCGCTAAGGACAGGGGCAATGCATGATCCTATGCAAACTCCCTGCTTTTGTAGGTATATATGACCATCCCAAGTAGCGACCGTGGATTTGAGATAGAGGTTAATCAAGTTCAAAAATTCTCCTTGGGATATGCCTGATGCATTCTGGAATGAAATAGTGCCATAGGTGTCTATGCGCTCCTCAATGCACTGTAGGAGACGGTCTTGGGGCAGGGCATAGTAAAGGTCCTTAATATCGATGGAGAACACTTGTAGATTTTTCCGGCCCTGATGCTCATGGAAGAAGGTGAAGACGTCGTAGGAACTTCTAACCAGGTACGGATCGTCAACGGTGAGCATATTCAGTCTTTCTTGTAAATATAAGGCCACAGACTTCTGCCACGTTCCCCTTTCAGAAATGATAACTCTAAGGGGGCACTCTGTTTTGTGAGTTTTTGCGCTGAAGAATAATTCTAAGCTCAACTTTTTACTACGATCAATATAGGAGCAGAGTTGTTTTAAATCTTGCGATTGGCAAAATTGTTTTGCTTCCCTTTTCACTTTTTCCAGAGAAGTCTCGTTGCGGCTGCAGAAAACAGACTCGATTGCTGTTAATGCCTTTGCTCGAAATGTGTCCTCCTGCATGAGAACAAAACCTCCTTCCTTGTCAGCGGGCATACGATATAGTGAGTGCTCTTTCAGGTATGTTTCTACCTTCTTGATGGGTAGAGGAGTAACTGATGGCTTTTTCCGAAGAAGTATGTCCACTCCTTCAGAGGTGCACCGATCAATCTCGGTCTCTGGTGCTCGTCTTGACACTTGCCTGACGATGGAAAGTAGCTCTGGTTTCGTCTTCTTAGGCTCCACCGCGTACTTTGGGCCTAGGCTGAGAACATGCTGCACATAGTCCGGTATATGGATGTCGCCTATTGTGCGCACTGGGTTACTCGAAGCCGTTTCTTTCTTTGGTGTGTTGATGCGGAGATGCCATAGAGTGAGTCTCCACAGATGTTCAGTCATGTTTTTCG